TAAAACTAGAAAGCGATGGCAACGATGGGGATATGGATGTATAGAAAACACAGAGTCTTATCGCGGCAACGACCTCGACTCGCTCGCGTGGAAAGAAGAACCTCTCATCGGATTAATTAGGAATTGTGAAGAGAAGAAGAAAAGAAAAAAAGAATATCACACGAGGGATTCTCTTCCGCGCGCCCGAGAGGGAGAGCCCATATCGAAGTGCATCACCTCCGCCCCCGCAAGCTTTAATGGTACACCTGCGATTTTCTTTCGTTTGGCTGAACACGACAGAGACAGAGACTTTTTTATTCGAACTTTGGCCTCCTTTGTTCACGCGATAGTGTCGCGTTTGCCTATTGATTTGGTGTTAACGGAAACTTAATAAACGCTTACTTTTATTGTTAAAAGTTCGTGTTTTTCCTTTCATCGACCAGCACGACAATTAAAAATTTCAACTCTATGAAATTGATGCACATAAAGTAGAAAAAAAAAAGAAATACTTCTTGCAACATTGTAATAGCTTTTCAAACGTACCGAGTTTCAAATAAACTTACTTGCTGTAAGATAATCTATACACAGACGCACACAGGCTGTTTCGCAGCGTAGGACCCAAAAGTTACATATTAAAATTCGCCATGAAATAAAAAAGAAGAGAACGACTACTGACTTACGTCGGAATACAGTATATTACTTGAGGAACACCCTTCTGCGTGCGAAGGGCTTGAGAACTTAAAAAAGGAGAAAGCACAACGAACGTATGTCAATCAGAGCTTCACCCGCGCACAGCTGAGAATGAAGAGGACTCCCTTTTAAAAGCTTTAGACGACGGCCTCTAGAGCCATGTTGTCTGCGGCGGCCACGCGAAATGTCAATAACGCAGGCGCACGCCGACGCTTGCGCGCTGTGCCTCCAATAGTAACAGTAGTCTGTGTGTATGTATGTAATAACGTGTGTGTAGGTATAATGAAGAGATGACGGTTTCTTTTCTCTTTTTTTCTCTCTTTTCTTTTGTAGGTTACACATTTACATAAAACTATATCGCCTTCTCTCGAGTGTAAGAAAGGTGTGGGACTTTTCCAAGTTTTTACGATGGGATGTTTGATAGTTACAGGTGTTTACTAATTCGGCTTGCGTGTCGGTAATTGGGCCAGTGGGACTTCGATGTGGGCAAGAATAATTATTAGTAATCAAGGATTTGAAATGTCCGTGCAGACAATGCTGCAACAATCGCGAGATGCCAGTGAGTTTCAAAATAAATCATGTGAATTGTGTCTACGTAACACTTCACCAAATGTAGTATTTTTGTTCTGCTATTTCAAAAGTGATACGATAATTAAAAACAAATTATATGGTATAATTTATTGCAAATAAAGTGTAGAATCAGATGTGCCTAAATACGTGTATTTATCGTAGTTTCTACTCACGGTGGCTTTATATTTTCGTTTTAATTCACTTCGCTTGGTTAATTTACGCAATTGAGCGCTGTCGTATAGCGATTGTTCCGTGCTCCGTCGGTACTTTCATTACAATTAATTTGCATTATGTTTGTTTTCATAATGATGTATTACAGATATGTAGGTTAGGTTAGGTCAAGTATGTGCTAATAACCATCTATTTGTTTTTTCAATGAACTCGCAAATTGCACTTCGATATGTATTCATGTTGTTTAATATACTGTCAACGGTATTGGGTCAATGAAAATATGACACAATTAATAGAATTGCAATCCCACGTGTTATAAAAGTTATCCTAGTATGGAAGGTTAGGAGACCCACGATTTTCACATTGAATATTTACAAATAAACGTACTTTTTACAGTAGCCTGTCACATGGATGGTTCCGTCATCGCCAGCTATACTCGCGAATCTTGAATCTGGAAACGGTTATGCTCTACTCCTCGAAGTATGCGCAAATCTCGAACGTTGAATATGTATGCTGTACACTGTTTTTTCTTTTACTCGTTTACTGCAACAGCAGGCATTTTTCTGAGAAAACACCGAGATGGCAGGGGAGTATGCACACGCGCATAGAATATCGTCGTAAATGTGCGAATATATGGAAAAGGGAATTTCGCAGATGAATACGCTCCGCACAAATAAAAAACGGTATATATTCCGTTACGACCAACGCACAAACTTGGTGCACATGCACTTGTCTGGAATACTAGAGAGTGGAGACTTTTGGAGAGTATACACAATCGAAAGATTTGCGAGAATGTAAATGTGGCCGATTTGGCGCCATCTCGCGGTGAAGGCAAGAACGTTGTTACTTTAAAAATTTGCGCGGGTTATTCAATTTCGACAATTTTCATATAATTTCAATAATTAAAATATTTTCCATTACAAAATACAAACAATAGATAATAATTGTAGTTTAATTTGTGTTATATTAGTATTTTTTTAATTGATTGATGTAGTAGTTTATGATTATTCATAGTAATATTTTATTTATGAAAAATATGAATGTCTTAAATCACACTGAGCTTTTATAAAATGCAATCACATAACTTGTGATAAAAAAATTTATTAAAAATATTTACATTACATTTGATACTTGAATATAATCAATAATTAGTTATCTTAGGGTGAGTAGTTATTCCTTTTCGGAAGAATTTTCATCTTTTGGTGAACATTTGGAGGTGATTTCAAAGTTCCATCTGGGTTGAATATATTATCTGGACAATATTTTTTGGTGCAAATTCTTATAGTTCCATCTTCTGAGCACCAGCAAGTATTGCAATAGAATCTGAATCTCGTTTTAGGAGTACACTGCATTTCAACTTCACTAGAATCTTGAGAAAAAAATGATTTTCTATTATAAATTTTATCAAAAATTCGAGAACATGAAAGTATTTGTTATTTTCATTGAAACGCAAGATCTATCACGATTTTAATCTGCTAGATATGAATTTTTTGCGATTGTAAAATTATGGACGTGTTATTTGAAACGAAATTTTTTCGGTAATCAGTTTACCAGTGTTGCTGATGAAGATAACGAGCAGAATAATAGCAAACTTCAAAACACGCATTCTTGTTTTTTGTAAAAGAAAATCTTTCCGTTGTGGACAAAGGAACTGTGTATCTCTTTGAATGTCGCCTACACTCGCTTGATCCAATAAACTTGACACATTGAACTTGCAACGCAGCAACCGGGCCTGCGTTCGCATGTACTACGTAGGGTGTAAAATAGGTGGGGAGCGATGAGCAAGGAGAGATGAGCCATACATATATCATTACGTCCAATAGCTAATTTGACTGTGAGGGTCTCGTTACGTGGAATAAGAAAGTTTATTAGAAAATTGTTTTAAAAGCAACTGCTGCGCACGGCTCAACATTCATATTTCACTTCCACTCAGGGCTTTCTGTTCTTTATTTGACATGAAATTATTATTCAAGTGATTTTTTACGATACATTTTTTTAATTTATATTTTATTTATTAATGATTGGTAAGATGAACTGAAAAGAAAGGAGGTCGTTGAACTTGGGTATAAAAATAACAAGAATTTTTAATGCCAGTTTGTTACGACATGATTTATTTTCTAAACTAATGTACATTATAATGTTGAACTGAATTAAAAAATAGGAACGACAAGGTGTCTATATGGTTTCTTCGAGGAGACGTCTCTGTTAAAAACATTTTTGTCGCAAAACATCTTGGTGCAACCGCCAAATTTACCGTCAATAGAATATTTGCATACGCTAAAGTATTTACAATAAGATTTACCGGGTATACACACTTTTTTTTTCTTTAAAAAGTTAATTTATTTTAATGGTTTTACTTACTCATATTTATAAAAATGGTAGTAAATCCATAAGAAATTATATATGTTTAACAATCTCGTAATGTATTTAAACAATAATTCTAAACTTCAACTTACGATCAAAAATATTTTAGATCTCATCGGTTTCAAGAACAATTAGTTGAGCTGAAAATTATGTTTATTGCATAAATACTTAACATACTAATTTTACATCAATGAACTTGGTGAAATTTTGTATTTGATGATTACTCATCGACAAATGTTCCTTTATCAATCTTTCGTATTTTCAGCTAATGTTAGCTTACATTAATTGTGCAAATGATTATGCACGCATCAGCAATGTTTTGGATAGTTTCAACGCTATAATTGTTGAAATGGAACTACGTTAACCAGAAAATTTCAAAGAGAAATATCTTTATGTATAATTCACATTTAAATTATTAATTAGAAACGTATTGAATTGAAGAATCTATAAGTTTCTATATTAAGTTACCGTGGCTCAAACAAAATGTTGATTCAATGTTATTTAATATGGCTAGTTCTATATATTCACTTAAAAATTTTAATATTAACTTAAAATACAAAAATTTTGCATAAAAAGTTTAAGCTTCTATGTTGAAACTGATCTCAATTTTATCGACTCATTTAAAATAAAATATAATACATATAAATAAGTAAATAATTTATTACAAACGCAAAAACTTATGCCTAATATAACTTCTTTACATTTGTTAAAAAAACTATAATAACGCAATATTAAATATATCTCATAGTAAATGTAAGATGGATATTTTATCTAGGCTTGAATGTTTAATTTTGATATTTTTCACGTCTGTGTTTATTTCTTGACATTAGTATTTATCTCCTTTGAAATATTAAGAGAATGAAATATTTTTTTATTAGTACTTTCGCATTCACGTGAAAAAAGAAAATCATTATTTTTTTAGAATATATATGGGTTTAAGACCTAAGACGTAAACAATATGGAGACACTAAAATGAATTTATGTATTAGCTGATTACTATTCACGGTAGATTTTATAGTCTTCAGAAGAAACAAGAACACTGTGCGTGGCATTTTTCAATATTCAGTACACTTTTTTTAAGAACTTTAAAAAAATTATCCATATACATAAATTAAAATCGCATTTGAGAAATAAGATTTTAAGAATTGGTCGTTTTATATTGAAAATGATGTTTTTATGACATGTTATTTATTTATTAATAAACTTTTCTTTGATTGTGATTTTTATACACACTTGATTTATGATTAATTTATAAAAAGCGAACTAATAACCACTAATTAATAATATAATATTATATATACTATTATACAAGCGTATGTTAACATTTCTTCAAACTACAGTAGGCACTATTACCACTTGAATTACACAAGCAATTGTTGCATTTGTCGTAGAATAATACTTGATTCGGTTTGCAAGATATGCCTGAAAGAAAATTTATCGTTATAAAGTTATATACACACACATATGTATATTTTAATTAAAAAAAAAGATGGAAGTATTTGTATACCTTCAGTCGTTAAATCACTATGTTTCTTTGTACATGCTTTCAGCGTACAGTAAGCTCTTCTACCATCTTCACTGCAAATACAGGTATTACAGTCTTTTTTAAAATGTCTTCCAGATTTGCAAAAGCGTCCATCTAAAAACATATGAACAATAATAAGTGGAATCCTTCTTTCTGGTTTATTAAATAGTTCTATTTGCCTTTGGAAGATTTAGAGCTTTTTGAAACTATAGAACATTTTGAAGATTTGGAGTTGTCATAAGATGAATCGGACGAATCTGACGAATCGGACGAATCTGACGAGTCAGACGAATCTGATGAATTTGATGAATCAGACGATGATGAACATTCAGAAAAATGTTTCTTAATATCACGAGGACACTTCAGCGACGTACAGTATTTTTTTCTACCATTCAAGCCACATATACACAGATTACATTGTTCTTTGGATATTTTTCCAGGTTGACAAACTTTTTCTGCAATGGTTGTAAGATTTATATTAAAAGAGATATACTCGTATAGTGAAGAAACTCTTCTACATACCATTACTGGGACAGTTCCATTCTGTGCATAGTCCTAAGTTTCCTTTCCTATTGCAAAAGCAATAATTACAATCACGTTTGATAATTGACCCAGGCGAACATGTCTTAGGCAAGTAATCTATAAATTATATACTCATAATGATATATTTCTTAACGAATTAAAATTCGATTTTTTTACCTTTAGTTTTTCTTATCATAATTTCCTTACTTTTGGGAGTACAAGCTAAAGTAGTACAAGTTGCCGATGTGCCATCCGACGAACAAGTACAAGTATTACAATCAATTTTAAATATAGAGTCTGGTGTACAAATTTGTTTCTGGATCGTCGTGTTATAACCTATACAACGCAAAAACAATTTTACACTATATATTCGACTTCTTAAGATTCAAAAAGACGATTTTTTATTTTATTACCTAATTCATATTCAGGACATATTTTATCCGTACATGAGATTGTAATTCCATCCTTAGAGCAAATGCAGTCGTTACATTTGATTTTGAAAATAGAGCTTGGTTCACAAATCTGTTTTGCTGTTGTAATTTCATTAACTGATTCAGTCACTGTAGAACATCGCATTTAGTTTTTAAATAAAAAAATAGAAATTATTGATATTTAATAATTTAGAAATTTCACCTGTATTTGAACATGCCATCTGCGTACAAGCACCAGGTCGCCCATTCTCATTGCAAACGCAAGTATTACAGTCACGTTTGTATGATACTCCAGGTTCACAACGCCATTCACCATCTGCAAATTTTGAAACCAATACGATTTTACGGTCAATTTGCTAGATTTTATAAACTTATTGAAATAAAATCAATGTACTTTCTATCCATATGGTACAAGACTTTTTCGTGCAAATTGCATATGTTCCATTCGTTGAGCAGGCGCAGGTATTACATTTGTCTTTAAATGTACTACCTGGTTCACAAATTTTTTTTGCCATTGTTGTTTCTGTGGCTACAATAAATTCAATAAAAAAATTACTCAATATATGTTACTTCAATCATAAATGAATATTAGCATAAAGTATAAGTACTAGTGTTCCATTCAGCACATGCCATCTCTGTGCAAGCCATAAAAGTACCATCTTCTGAACAAGTGCAATCGTTACATTCTATTTTGAAAGTAGTATTTGGTTCGCAAATCTGTTTCACAGTTGTAGTTTCAAATCCAGGACAAGCCCGATGAGTACAAATAGCCATAGTACCATCAGACGAACAAGAACATGAATTACATTGAATTTTGAACAAAGTATTTGGCTCGCAAATTTGTTTCAAATTCGTTTTCTCCACTTTTAACAATTAGAAAAACAATATTATATTACGAAAATTGTAACTTAGTAGATGAATTATTATTAATTACCATGTTTCCATTCGTGGCATAAGTCGTCTGTACAAGTCATCGTTTTACCATCTTTAGAACAAGTACAATTATTGCATTCAATGTTAAAAGAAGTATTAGGTTCGCATATTTCTTTTTTTGTAGTAGCTTCTAAAGTTGATTCTGCAATTAAATTTATACCAGAGTACGATTGAAGATACATAAGGCAAAATGTAGACAATTAAGTAGCCTAAGTAGCTGAATAGTAATCACATATCACCTGAAGTTAGACAAGTCATCAAAGTACATATCGAAGTTCTACCGTCTTTACTACTTGTACAAGTATTACAATCACTCTTAAAAATCATTCCTGGCTCACAACGATATTCTCCATCTACATGAGATTAAAAGTAAATTTGTCTCAGTAATGCAGATTACTCTTTTTTATAAATGAATATAAAATTTTTTACAACGTACTTTCATTCCACTCTATACAAGCCATTTCAGTGCAGGTAACAGTTTTCCCATCCAACGAACAGTTGCACGTATTACATTTATTTTTGAAAGTACTTCCGGGATCACAAATCTGAGCAAGTGCTTTACTTTTAGGCTTGATCATTTCTGCAGCTATAAATAGGGTAGACAAAAGTACATTAAACTATTATACATTGATGGACAGCTTCCAACTAGTATTCGTACTTTTATTTCCACAAGTCATTAAAGTACACGCAGAGCTTTTTCCGTCTTCATTACAAGTACAAGTATTACAATCTCGCTTATAAGTTAGCCCAGGTTCACACCGCAATTCTCCATCTATTATTGATATTAATAAAACTAACATTTTTCCATATCTTTTAATTAAAGTACTTCTTTAACTAACCTTCTTTCCATTCCCCGCAAGTTATTTGCGTACACACAGCATTCGTCCCATCAACTGAACACTGACAAGTATTGCATTTATTTTTAAAAATTTTTCCTGGCTCGCAAATGAGTTTTGTGGTAGTTGTTAAAATTTCATGTTCAGTAGCTATAGATGATAAATTACAAAATAGAATGATCATCATATTTGAAAATAGTCATAAATTCATTATTTAATTATAACTTACTTGTACTTATGCATTCTTGCAATGTACATATGCTTGATTCACCGTTATTGTCGCAAATACAAGTATTACAGTCACGCTTGTACAACTTTCCTGGTTCACATCGGAATTTGCCATCTTATAAAAGAAATAAAAATCTCAAGATATTTAAGAATCATTCTTTACATAATTTGCAATTAACCAGTGTACCTTCTTTCCATTCGTCACATTCTTTGTTAGAGCATGTTTTTGATGTGCCATCATAAGAACAAATACATACGTTGCATTTTTCAAAGGAAAATTCCCCAGGTGTGCAAATTTGCTTGAATGTTGTAGATTCATAGCTATTATTTTGTCCTAATAATGAACACAATGGTTAGCAAAATTTTCTTTTCATTCCTACATATCTACACTCCACGAGAATTACTTTGAAAAAATCTTTTTCTATCAAATTTATTTTATTTGCAAATAACTTTTCCCTACAGTCTATTATCAGCAAATATATTTTATTATAATATAAATAATGTATTTTGAAAGAACTATCCAACTTACCGGTTACAGCAATGATATTCGTCAGTAATAATATAAAGTACTTCATGGTTACCTTACTTTTTCCAACCAACTCGCGAAAGTTTACTGTTCAATCTGATGAGTATCACAGCATCCAATCTCCTTATAAATAGCGAAAGTGAACTGCCAGTGCTCCAGTTGCAATCAGTAAAGATAAGAAATTTTTCCTCTGCCACTTCGCAAAGAATTTTATTAATTTTTATCCTATGGAAATGTTTATCATTCCTTATGATCATTTATGTTCAGTTTAGGTTGTTTCAAATAAAATTGATTTTTTAATATATTTTTAACAATTGGTTTTCGCACGCTAACTTCCACGTAGAACATTGAAAAAATTATATTTTAATAGAACATCAACTTAATAAATGCTTGAAGTAAAAGAATATTTAGGATAAAGCTCTTTTCTAAAAGTAAACAGCAATCTTTCTTCAAAACTATCAGTTATTTATTGTATATTTGTATTTGATTTTCTTATATTTTCTTATATTTTCATGATTTACAAAAACAGTTTTTATTGCATGTTTAATTATCTTATCAACACTGAAACTGCGATGGGAATAGAGTCATTCTTTAGTTTATTTTGGATTTTCAAGGCACTGATGCCAAAATTCAAGCTTAACATTCTTCAGTAATTTATAATACTTTTCTGCAGAGTTTTATGATATAGATTTAGGTTTGCGTTTTTTAAATAAAAAGTACATATTAAATACACTCGAATTGAAATGAATTTTATTACGGTTTTATTAACACGCATCAAATAATGAACCGATGTATAAACTTAAGAGATTTTATTACCAGAAATATCGTTTTAGTTAAGATTGTAATCAAATATGTATTTTAAAATCATGTAGAATCTTTTTCTATTTTCATGGCATATACAGATATTATAGTTTTAAGGAAAAATTATTCCAGGATGACAAATTTCGATAGTATATATTACTGAGCAAATTAAAATACTTATATTGTTTGAAAGTGCACACATTTATAATAACTGTAATACTAATAACTTCGCACAACGTATAATTACCATTACGATCGCACGTGCATTTGCGAAAATTATAATCGAATAAAGCATTGGCTTTACAGTGTATTGTTACTTTTGTAAAATGAAGTAATAAAATTATATAATACACCTATTAGCTACAAAAATAAAAGCAGTATATTATAATATATTCATTCATGCGATAAATCTATATATCGACGCCCCATTTTTCTAAAAGATATTTTCGTTTTACCTTTAGAAACACTCACACTCGTGCATTTAATTATGAAGGTATAAACCATTGCACAAGCTACATCTGAATTAGGACCTAAAATGCATCGAGTTACCTAGTCGGAAAATAAATTCAACTAAAAATTTAACTATAAAAAACTGATATTATCGTAAACTAAGTAAAAATCAAGTTTGGTACACATTGTTTTATCATGCTGTCCATAAACTCAGCCAATACATTTATTTTTTACCATAAATTTTGATATACATTTTCTAATGTATCTTTAAATGAAAAAAGTTGATGCAATATGAGAATAAGTGGATATTTGAATAGATTTTTAGTTATTGACTCCCGGAATTCAGAGGTGACGCCATTTTGTATTTGAAACGTATGTCGTTTATTACGTTAATACAGATATATTTCCACATCTTTAAAATATAATTATAGATTATAGTTACAAAGAAATATATAATAATAATTGTTTTATTTTATTTTTCTAATAATGAACCTTCAAAAGCCATAGACAATGTTTACTTATTGAGGCAGAAATTTTTATAGTTAGAAAAGTCTTTCGCGAATATGGCAAGTTAATAATGATAATTTTTATTATTGTAAATAACTATTTATCTAGTGGAATGATAGCATAGAAAAGAATTGAAAATTTCTAGAATAGCTAAATAATTTTTTAAAATGGTTATGAATTTTTAAATTTACAGATGATATGATTCACGTAGCAAACGAATCATGCATCATGTGTCTATAACACTGGATTATTTCGAAATAAATGACTCAAGGAGACTTTTTTATGGCGATTATAAATTTGCTGTTCGTTACAGATAAAAAAAGGTAGTTATACCTAACATGAGAAATTTTCATCAGGTATATGAATATTATTATAAGTATCATGGCATGGAACATAAATTCAATTGAAAGTTAATTTGGATGCTGGGATTATTTTAATTAAAATAAAAATAAAGTCATGTGTTTTGTTTCTGGGCTGTCCAGTAAACTTTATAGATCGATTCATGCTATTGGCAATGACATTGTTAACAGATTAAAAGTTGATTGGATAATTACAATATGCGTTACTAAATTTATTATTCGTTTACTTCAAGTTCTCCACTTTACCATGCTAATAGAAAAGAAAGCAGATAATTCAATTTTCTGCTTCCTAGTTATTTTTACATAAAGAGCGTGATATTCGTAGGTTAGTTCAGATCGTTTTTTCTTATGTGAACGCTGAGGTTTTTTTGCGCATTTACAAAGTACTAAAGACGTCAGACGCGTGTTCTTATCTTCATCTTAATTTTTTGTCACGTGGATTAACATATTTAACATAAATTACTTTTTTCAAGGGGAGATGTTTCTATTTCTTTTACAAATCACATATTACAGCGGAAAAATATGTATTAGTAAAATATTCCCGTGTATTCCAAATTCATAATTTATTATATCGAAAACTGCTATAAATGATCTTCAACTATACGGGCCAAATTACCATTAAACATTTATTTTACTCTTTGAATAAAGGTTGTTACAGAATTTATTTCAATCTTACACATTCAAAAATTAGATTATCGATTAATATTAGAAAATAATCAGAACAATTTCAAAGCATAACTTCTTATTTTTACGAAACGAGTTACTTGAGACTAGTTTTATAAAATGAGTGTGAAAACAATAACATTGCAGCTTATTTGTTTTTGACTTTCATTATCTTCAAAATAACCCGTATCAATTATAAGAAATTAAATTTTTATTACTAAACTTTCAACTCGAAACCATACATAATACCGCAGTCACATAACAGTAGATCACACGAAAAGCTTCAACATAGCATCCATTACTTTTTTATAAGGGATTATCTTCAAAATGATCCGTATCAATTATGAAAAATTGATTGTAAAAAATAACGATCGGTCGGCAAAAGAAAAATAGGATGACACACATCGGCGTTGTGCAAGTGGGAAAAAACGCGGTAAAAACGTAGATTATCGAGATGCGTCTGAACGTATATTAATGATAGTAAAAAGAAAGCGTCAAAGTACAAGCGAAAGGCGACACTTGCTCGTGCCAGCTGCGATAACGCGCTCACATTTGCGTGCTTACCGTGAGGCAACAACGAAAGCGTGTTTGAGTTTTTGTTTCAACGGAGATACTTTTAGTTTACGCACGAGATAATCGCACTCGAGTAAACAAACAGGCATCGAGATATAGATAGTGAGCGACCGTGCGTGAGAATGAGCCCAGCGTTCGTGTCACCGACTTATCGATTGTGATGCGAGCGCTACTATAGAAAATAAGCGCGAGCCACCTGAACATGACAGTCGGCATAAAAAAAGCACACGAAGAAGCTTGTTTTTGCATTGGAAATATTAGCGTGCACGGTGATACCAGAGGGTTTGACCCGTGTCTGTTTGCCGATAGGATGATCAAAGTAGGACAGTTAGCTATCATTTCTATACCTGTAGATTTATTGCAAGTGCAGGAACGACAATCATCGCAAAAATTTTTTTCAGGGTGTTCCAAACGTCGAAAAACAAGCAACTTAGACTTGTGAATCGATAAAGGCTTTGTCTGGCTGGCACCGACATTCGATCGGGAAAACTCAAGTACGACCGATTAGGGAAAGTCAGATGCGTGCTATAGACGCGCTCGGGGAAAGAAAATTCCTGCTTTAACGCGTTTCGGAAGTAAAAACATAATTACGTAGCTCTTCTTGGGTTTCCTTCGCGCGATGATTATCATAAAATGTATGCGTGCGCTCTTATACACTGTAAAATTCATTAGCATGCGAGATTTATGATTGGCCTTTATCTCTCGAAACTCGATGCTTAAAACGTGCACGAACGCACAGGCGTTATCGTGACTGCGAGGCTTCCAGCTCCTGGAGAGAGAGAGAGAGAGAGAACATGAGGGAAGAGGTGGAAAAAACAACGGGTGTGACTAATTGCGAGCGAAAAACAGGGCTTAATGAATATCACCCCGCAGTGACAGAGACAAGGGAAGCTGTTGTCAGCTCGCTGATTCAAGGTCAACCAGTCCGCGTCTTGCGCTTCATTACATAAGTCGCGCGAGTTCTCATTTTCGTATTGCGTATAATTCCCTACTTACGACTGGAGTTTTTGTATCTTTATCCAGTAAAAATAAATGCTATTAAAAAAATTAATAAATTAAATCAACGCGTTATAAGTTATTCATGTTCACCTCGTCCTCGACGCAGGGACACAAGAAAGACTTTCTGTTAAAAAGAATCCAGCGATGTATGTATTCTCAGAGTTTTGCATGCCATCACAGTACAAGTGGCACTTTTACTATCGGGACCGCATTTGCATCTATTGTACTTTTTAATAAAGCATTTGTTAGGGTTACATACACTCTCTGTTTACCTACTGTGAAGAGACATACGAACCACGAGAAAACGCTTTATCAGTACTTAATGTTTTTTTTTATTTAGATTGTATAGGAATATTTTTTAGTTCAACAGAACATAAAATCAATTAATCATTTTAATATTTTCAGGAGGATATTCTACTGGTACAGCTGATACAACTAATATCATTATCAAGGAAACGGCTACAAAGGTGAAGAAGGATCTGTTGCTAAGAGTGCTGTAATTTCTGAATCTTTTCGCTTTTCATTCCAACACGAAACATTCAAATGTGTTTTAAAAAGAAGATCCAGAATGTTTTACAATTGACATCTTTACATTAGACTGGACACAATTCTATTTTCATACTATTTGCCATGTTTGGTTATTTTGAAATACATACAAAAAATTAGAGTTAAAATAGTACAGGGAATAGTAGTCATTCCAGAATCGCCAGTAGAGCTATGTAGTACCTAC